TATTTTTTAAGGCCTGTTACAAAGAAGGTAATTGGCTTTCCAAAGCTAAACACTACTACGTTGTGGGACAGATCTCTGTTAAACACGTTTATTGATTCCCAAGCAGAATTTGGCAGTTAAAACATTGTCTTATTTTTTTCTCCTAATAGATGGATAATTTATGAACACAGTAATTACAGGGGACGTCAGATGTTATTAACACCAAATGAAATTGCAGATTGGTATAAAGCCAGTGGCCTTTGTCAGATAGGTTCTCTGAGACCTTTACTGCAGGTGAGTGGTCTTTGACATGAGCTCATCAAGTACTAATTTTTATCCTGTCATGGGGTTGGGGAGATACTATGCAGTTCAAAGCAACATTACAGCCTTGTCACAGGCACGTGACAAACTTTAGCATGGACAATTGTGTAAAGAAATCCAGAGTTTTGTGTATAATAAAAGGTGTTTGAATATGCTACATGGCTTTGCAGTTACAGGGCTTAAACTGTTAATTAAATATCCTTTAAACCAAAGTACATAAGACAGCATATAAGGATTAATTAAGGATTAATAAATAATGGCTATTATAACTACAATATAGAAAAGATTTTAAGTTGTTTCATAACTAGTACCCAGACTGGTTGCTGGAATATTGTCTGTACTATCTGCATTATTTATGGAACAAGAAAATTGTTAAAAAAAGAAAAAAGATACTTCAGTTAGTAGTGATTTTATGTTGATTTAAGAGGAAAAGTCCCTCCCTGCTTATTAATTGGCAGAATAATTTGCAAATCTAATGCAAAATTTATTTTTGTCATGCACTTTTTATTTTGTTCTCCAAATAAAGACCATATGATCTTGCCCAATGGTGCAGCAGTCCTGGGAGCTTTGAGGTTCTTGCTGAGCTGTATTTCATTGGAGAAACAACTTTTTCTAATTCATAGGTTACTTGTACCTGTAACCAACTTCATTTGCTTGCTGTCATAGCTTTGTCTTTGTATAGCCTTAAGCAGAATTAGGAATAATGCATTTTGACTGCTCTGCTGAGAGCTTGTCTGAACAGAAGTGTTCATGTGGAATAGGCCACACAAGTGCATCCTTAATGAAAGCTAAGAGCAGATATGGAATGGAATTAGCAGAGAGAAGTTAGTTCTGCTCTGAATTAAAGATTATTTAGCTTTCTGGTGCATCCTGATTTTGGTGCACAGGAAAGCCTAAAACTCTCCATGCAGAGTGGCGAGTTCTCACAGCTTGTCTCGTGCAGATGTTTATGGGATTCTGAATTAAGTTCTCAAATAAAAAAGTTAAGCTTTCAGAAAGAGGGAGGTTTGGGGTTCAGCACTGACAGTAACTGCTCTGAAGATAACTCAGAGAAGGATATGTTCTCTGCTGAGATTGTGGTTAAAGAGTTCTTTTGTTTTGTGCAGAAACGTGTGTACTTCAGGCTTCGAAACAAGGAAACAGGAAAATTCATGTCAGCTGATGGCAACTTAGATAATCTGAATCTTCTTAGAATACAGGTTGCAGAAGATACAGACTCAGATGATCAAATCTGGGTTTATCAGGATGGATTCATAAAGTGTCGGGTAAGGTTTGAGTTGAATGTGCATTTTCTCTTTTTCTCTCCAGCAGTAGAGCTTTATGAATTTAATTCCTACTGCAGCATCTTCATTTATTTTACAGACTTAATCTGTTTCAAGTATAATGTAATCTTTCTGTAGGGATTTGGTTTTTTGGGTATTGTTTTGTTCTGTTTTAATCAAGTCTGCCTTTTTCAGATGATACAAATTAGTTGTAATACTTTTTGACATAATTGAAATTTAGAGAAAGTATTGCAAAAGTATCAAAGCAGGGGAGACCCTTCCTGATAATATTTTGAACTATGCATACCTTGCAGTAAGACAGTTAGTGTAATGTAGGTTGGTATTTGTACTGGTTTAGGGCAAATTTGGGAGGAATTTTAAAATACAAATATCATATATCACCCTAGGACAATATCCTCTTCTGCATTTAGGCAAGCTTAAAGATAAAATCCCACTCTTTTGAGCCAATTAGGGGTGGGATTTTTGTGTTTTGTGTGGTTTTTTTGTTTGTTTGTTTTGTTATTTTGTTTTTGTTTTCTGGTTATCCCTGTATTTGTCAAATCCATACTTTTTTCTTTCTTCTGTACAAGTTTCCAAATGAAGCCCTACTTTTCTCACAGTCCATAAAACTAATCATGTGCAAATAAATTGTCATTGAGGTGAGCAGAGGTATGCACAGTTCATATAATGATTAAGCATGAACAGTCTTAGGTAGGGATGCCAGCCAAGAGAAAATTAAGTTACTTTAATACTGTTAAACAGCTTGACTGCAAAGAATCATGTGAACTTTTTCTATAGGACTGTGTAACTTCAAAGGAGCCATTTATAACTATGTCATCTATGCTGGAGGGAAGAATCTTACTGTTAATAAGCTAAGGCATTGTTCGGACATGTTTACAGGACACATGCAGTTGTAAAAGGGATTTATGCAGACAGCAAAATGATGCAAAGTAAGCTAAAAGCTTTAATGTGACATACAGAAGACTTCTTTTTGATGGTGCTTCTCAAACATGTCAACATGTTTTCATATTGAGACAGCGTGGTATTATATGGCTTTGGATAAATGCTCCCGGTTTTTGCCCTTTTTCTGTATCTCATAAAGCATTTTTTCTGTGAACAGAAAATACACGGTTTGTGCTGTATAGCAATCAGGTAGCTTAGTGCAGAGTGCAAGCTGGCAACATTGATATTAAGTGACTAAACTCTTACAGAGCTCTGCCATCTTTCTGATGAATGGCAGTAAATCCATTTTGCACAAACTAAAAATTGGGTTTTACCATATATTACAAAGCAAACTGGGTGGGTGGGTAGCTACCTGCATGGAGGCAGACATAGGCCACTGGAAGAACCTGCACCTTCCTGTAAGCTTGTGTCATCTCAGTGACTGAGTCACGAGATGTGACTTTGAGCTGTGTCTGGAGTTTTCTAGGAAGGGCTGTTTTGAGTATGTGGGATAAGTAGTTAGCAAGAAATGAAAGTCATTCTGCTCTTTTTTCAGAAACAGATACGAATGCAGGTCTCCTTACTCTTCATGAGTTTCATGGAGATGGGTGAAGTTCTGGCCTGGTGGACCTAATGTCTAAGCTCAGAGTTTTCCTAGTCCCACTAGGGAACGCTTCAGATACAAGAGAGAATTTCACAACCAAATCAACTTTTAATTCTAGGTTATGATAGAAGCACAAGTTTTTCAAGAAAAAATGCTTTCAAAAATATTTGTAAAATAATTTAGGACCATTTCAACAATGACAGATGAATGTTCAATCTGCCACAGAAGTGCATTCAGTAGTTAAAAGGCGCAGTTTATGATGATCTACTGAAAATCACTGTTTATCTAGAAAAATTAACTGTTCCTTAGTAATACAGCCTTAACACTCTTTTGAAATAAGCTTGATTTTTGCCAGCTCTTTTTTTAACCAAGAAGACATTTGCAGATGTTTGGAATCAAGTAATACAATTGACTAGGAAAAGAGTGTAGAACAAAGAAGCAAATATTACTGTGATACCCTGTGAAATTCATACACTTGATACTGTGCAGTTATGTCCTCTTCATGAAAAGGTTACTACAAAGCTAGAAATGTTTGGGAAAAAAATATGTTCAGAGGAAATGGAGAGCCTCTATGCAAGGAAGAGACAAAATAGCAAGGACATTTTAGCCTACAAAGTGTACACTTTGAGGGATAATGTGCTTGAAGTAGCTGCAAACATAGCATAGACAACACATCCTTTAAATAATCAAGGGATGAGGAGAGCATCAAAACTAGTTGCATATCAAATTATTTTGGATTTATGTCTTTAAAAATAGTGGTAGTCAGGATGTGGAACTACTTGCCTCAGTATGGAAGGGTTACAATACACAAGGGTGTTCACGTAAAAGGTTACACTGATCTTGGTGGGTAGTGACTAATAAATTCACACATGGAACAGAAAATGAGCATTAAAGATTCCAAGATGCGTGGAAAAGTGTCTGGGCTGGCAACTGCTGTAGCCTGGAAGAGATAACCAGGAACATACTGCATAGGAGAGTATGATCTTCCATGTGTTCCATGATATCAATGTAATCTTCAGTTATTGGCTACTGCTAGAGACAGGTGCTAATTGTTCCTTTTGATCTGATACAGCATAGTTATTTTAATGTTCCCTTGTAGTGGAGAGTGTCAGCATAAACAGGAACAAAAGAAAGATGAGTTGAGTTTGGTGTAAAAATGGATTCCTGGAGGGAAGGTTATTCCTGAATTCTGTTCTCACCTGATGACATCTCTCCTATTCGATTAAAAAAACAGTGGACAGTAGAAGTAAGGCCATTCTGAGTAATTGCTGTTGCCTTTCTGATGACACAGATGGCAGAGGATTGCTGCTTGACAATTGTTGGAAATCTTATAACTCCTGGCTCTAAACTCGGTCTGTCATTTGAGCGGAATGAAGACAAACAATATTGGCATATTAGTCCCGATGGCAGAATTTATAGCAAGATGAAACCCAAGCTGGTTTTAGATATCAAAGGTAAGCAAATGTTATCTCATTACATTGGGTCTTAATTACATGGTATTTGCAGTGGGAGACACACTAAATGCTCCTATAAATTAAGGATGGTGCTTTAGTTGCTTTAATCTAGAAGCAAAAAAGACCCGATCAGCTAGTTTGACCTCCTGAATTATACAGGCCCTAGGACTTAATTTCATTTCTCCTACGTATACAATTTAGTAACCCACAGTACTTGCTTATCTTGTATTCTCAGTGTCCACTCACTGCAGATAGCCTCTGTTAATTTTTGGGCAATGTGAATATGTATATTTAAAATGGTGAAGCAAGAACAACCTAACTTTACATTAACTGTAATTTCTGTAAGTGCAACTTTTCTTATATAATAGTTGTAGGTGCAATACCAAAAGGATATTAGGAAAGCAAAGGCAGGCACTGATATGATTAGATGCAAAAAGGTGAGGTTCTTTTGTTTATTAATGGCTATACCTATATGGCAAGCGTGAGATTCTGCCATAGCAGCCCGGGGTCTGTGAACATTTGATGTGTATTTTGGAGTCACTTTTGTCATAGTAATTTGATTTGTGTAGATATTGTTTCTGAACTTAGTTTTCAGAGTTTCACAGAAGGTCTAAAAAAGTAGCAAATAAAATGATTAGCAGAATTAGCATAATCACATGTTCTTACATAACTGCTTTTTTGGGTGAAGGGAGTATACATTTTCTGTAACTGTTCTATTCTATTAACTTTTTAGCCGTTTTAAAATTGATTTTAAATTGATGCTGTGACATTAATAACAACCACCACTACCCCCCAGAAAACCCCAAATCAACCAGAAAAACAGCATAGTCAACAGTCAACACTTTAGAACTAAACAGGACTGAATGCCTGAAATCGTAGAATATCCTGAGCTGGAAGGGACCTATAAGGATCATCAAAGCCCTCAAAACTCCTGGCCCTGCACAGGACACCCCCCAAGAGTCTCACCATGTGCCTGAGAGCATTGTCCAAAATCATCTTCAACTATATTAGGCTTGGTGCTGTGACCACTTTCCTGGGGAGCCTGTTCCAAACAAGCAGAAATACTACTGCTTTGCCTTTTCTTCAGTTAATCATGTTAAAAGCAATTATGTGTTCTGCATTTATAATTGAAGAACTTTGCAATTGATAGGTCTGGTAGTGGAAGTATAGATACACTCTTAGCTTTAAAACAAAGTAAATCTGTACAGTAAATACAAAACAGGAGATACATTTAGCTTTTATATGAAAAAGCCTAATAAGAACATTGCCTGTTTCTGCCAACTCTGCTGATCCATTCCGGACCACAAATTGTGTGTTAAAGAATTCCTCAGCAAATGAATGCAGTTGTGTAACTGTGCAGTTGCCAATGCCACCTTGTGGATAAACTGGCATAGCACAAGGCCTTGTCCAGAGCACCATGCTATCAAAGTAAATAGTCTCTCTATCCACTGAAGAAAAAAAGCCATATTTTCCTATCTTAACAGGTTTACATTCTATCAGACACCACTTTAAAAAAATTTTTGCACTCACAGTGATAAATAAGCTACAAAAAAAAATATTAGCTACAAAGCTCAGTATGTTTCACTCATCATAAACTTTCAGCTGCCAGGCTTGTCTTTTGCTCAGTCAGGAGGCAGTTGGGGTGCAGAACAAAAAGACAGTGTCCGTGGGAGTGTCCTGGTGCTTTGTATAAATGGTTGGCACAGATGGCTATTTCCAGGGGGAATACCACCTGCTTTGAAGGCCAGTTTGTACTACAGGAAATGTATGTGTTCTACATTTCTGCAGTACATACTAGAATCTGAGGGAAAACCCATCAATTCTCTCTTTCGGCTCCAGTCAAATGTGTCTTTGCTTCCCAGTTTCTTAAGTCAGAATATTAATAGTGTTCTTGTATGAAAACATGTCTGGCATAATATCACATTAGTAGATTAAGCTTTTCTAAGAAATGTTTCTATTTTGCATTCAGATACGTTCAGCTGCCAGTGGAAACAGCTGAACATTGGGTGATACATTGTGCATGATGACTTGTGATTCATCTGGTCAGAATAAAGGATTATAATGGCAAGGAGTAAATGAGTGCCAGACCTTGTCTCTGACTTGGTCACGTGTGTATTGTCTGTTAGCAGAAGGACTTACTTCATCATCTAAACATCTTCACTCTGTTTTTAGAGTCAAGTGACAACTGACAATTGTTGCAGAAAAACTGAATAGTCAAATGTGACTTTTAGGAAGTGACAGTCTTCAAGGAGCTGCACCTGACTGTACTTCAGTGTTTCTTTCCTTTTCCATCCAGGCTGAAAAAGCTGAGAAACTGAATTGCTAAAGGGGTGAAGAGAATAAAGCAGACTGATTCTGGTTAATTCATTAACTGTTTAAAAAATAAATTCCAAAAGCAGGCAGTGATGAAAATACGTTTGTCTTCTCAGAGCTATGGCTCAAAGAGAAATTGTCTACACCAGCTCTTACAGAGCTTTTCTGAAACCTAGAGTATTTGTCTCTTACTTCAAATATAACCTCCCTTCTTTGACATTTCTCTCTACAGGAGGCACACAGTATGACTGTGACCATGTCGTTGTCAACACAGTCAGTGAAGAAAAATTAACGCAGTGTTGGGAACCGCTGGTTGTATAAACCCAGTGAAGCAAAGGTGATGTTTGAATTAGCCACTATTCTGGACACTGGAATTGGCACTGCCGTCTCTGAAGGATACAGGATGAATGATGAGAGTTTTGTCTTTTCTTCACAATTTAAAAAAGAATAAGCAACAGAATGATTTCACCTCCCTATCCAAGATAATTTTCCCTATAAAAGCTTGAGTATCTCAAAATCTTCCTTTTTTTTTTTTTTCTTTTTTCTTTTTGTTGTTTTTAAATCCTTGCAATTCAGTGTTGGATAGAGAGTGGCAGTATGCCTCAGGCTAGAAGGGAGCAACTGAACGTGGGAGAGACCCCACACAGTTACAGTCATGTCAGTGAGTAGTTAACCCAGAATAGTCAGTAAGTGCAACTTATTTTATAAAGGACAGGAGTGCAGTGTGTATGCGGTTATAGCAACTTGGACCTGTGGGATGTAGTACAGAGAAATATTCACTACAAAAAATTAATATATTTGGTTCACTGGAACAAACCTATGTTTACTGAAAGTTTAAAGACTGCTAGTACAGCACATCCAAACAAATTTTAATATGTGGCTTCAAGTATAGTTAGTAGTATGCTAATATAGTAAGTCCTAAATTAAGGAAAAATTCTAGATTTTCTCATGTATAGAGGATGTAAAGTAGCAGATATTTTGTTAGAAAATCAGAGGACTGGCAAAAGGATGCATTGGAATGTGAAGAATTTGCCCATTTCCTAGGTTGCCTAACTTCTTGAGTTTGGGGGTATTTTGCTTCTTTGCCAAAACACATTTGTACCTTCTAAAACAGTTTCAGTAAGTAGAGTCTTAATGAACTCAAAAATTATATAGGAAACAAGAAATCTTACGGAAAGAATTACTAAAGATGACTGCAACAGCCTGGAAGCAACTTGAGGTTATTGAGTTTTCCAGCCATTGGCTGTTTGGCTTACCATAGAGCATGCCCAACTCCCCAATATTTCTGGAGATGTTAGAGAGCAATGTTAGTGGTGGGCTCCCGGCTCCCCATTGGACAGAAGTGTCAGACTCCCCTAGGAAGGGGCACAGCCAAGCCTGGATACATGCCCAGCCTGAAGGGCTGTGCCCATTCCAAGTAAGTGTTACTGTTTAATAAACTTTAATAAAGAGCTTGTGACACGTAGGATGTTCTGATGACTACAGGAGGTCCTTCTGTTGCTCTACTTTTAACCTGGTCATGTTAGTTTTCCTTAATAATGTTGGCAAAAAGGTAAAATACAAACTCTGATACTATGCTGCTGTGTTTTGTTCTGGCTTGGACCAGTGTTATTACAAGCTGCTCTGAGGAGCATCCAGGCCTTTGTCTTGCATAGTAAATCTGTTTAAAATTAACATTTGCATTACTGTTGTATTGCCTCAAAGGATACTGGTGCTTTTGCTATTAGCACCCTAGAGGAAGTGCCTTACTAATTTTCTTCCTTTTGTAAAGACACACTGAAGTTTTGTTGCTCTGAAATGTGCTGCTTTTAGTCCTTAATAGAAAATATGATGTTACTGGTTCCAAACAGTGGTACTTTGTCATATTGATGTGCTTTTGCTATATATAATATAGCATTTTACAAATAAATTAATGTTAGGTAATGTTTTTATTGAAGTTATTTTTAAAGGTAGAAAAATGGCATTTTATTAGTTTTGCTTTCATTTTGTGCCCATCTCTGTCCATAATTCCTCTGTGACAGCCAGACCCTGAGGAGTGAATACATGGTGTGGAATAGCTGCAGGCTCTGAGGAATGGGTGATTCTTCTATACAAGAAGAATCTTCTGTACATTTTTGTACATGTACCTGTATAAGCATTTATGCACAGGGCCACCATTCACATGGCTGCCACTTCTGTCCCCTGGTAGACGTGTTGCATGACATGGTTTGTGCACCACCACAGCTTCACTGCAGTAAATGGACAGCTCTCACTTAAGAAGTTGCCACTTTCCTTCAATCCACCAGCATAATTGCAGGGGAAGTTACTCCACAGCCCATCTCTGGCAAAATGTCAAGTTGGAAAACAGCCCACCAGACACAAACACCCCCTCCAGCACTTCACCAGCACTGATGAGACACAGCAGGAACAGGGACAAAAATCATGTCTACCCTACTTGCACAAACACTGCAGTCAGCTGAATTTGGGCCAGGAGTTGGGCAATTAGAATAATTATCAGTTACAGATTGATTGTGTTCAATGCTTCTATTTAGATTAGCTGTGTCATGAGAGAATTGCCATAACAAGATCAAAGTATCAGTCTTGAGAAAGTGATGTGACCATTTAGTTCTAAGAGTGAAACAGCTTGAGTAATAATCTACATTAGTGAAGGTAAATAGAAGTAGGAAAGCCAAGGAAAAACAGCACAGGTTTCATATAGACAAGTAGATAAGAGTGTGCCTCACCATTTCAGGACTTTCATCTGAAAAATAAAAGCCCAAAAAATACAAAAGGAAAATGCTGCAGGCTGTTCCTCTTATCCTAAGAGTGACATTTTTAGCATGTTTTCAGGTAGAAATGCCTAAGAGACATTAATATGTCTTGCCTGCAGAGTAAGAAGGAATCAGAGGCTTTTCTAAAACAAGATTTTTAAGTTATGCATCCTGTATGAGCTTTTAAAAAAGAAACACTTGCTACATACCAATTCATGTTCAAGGACTAGGCAGGCAGACTAATGATTAAAGATACTTTATTGTCTACTAATTACATTGATCACTGTTTTGCCACGTGCATGTCCTCCTTCCAACTTCAGAAAGGCCTCTGGTACTTCAGAAAATGAGAATACTTCATCAATAACTGGTTGAATCTACAGAATAAAGGAAAAAAAGTATAAAGTAATGTATCACCCTCACACTTCAAAACTGTATGAAGAAGGGGAGGAGGTTTCTTTATGGTATTTAGGACAGAACTTGCCATGCTGCCATGTAGCCACCAGCTTTTAAGATTTTTCAGGGATACCTCTGTATCCAGAAAGCTTTCTGCTGCTCTTTGCCCAAGTTTTAAAACACCTCTACTAGCACAGTTTGGAGCCCTTACCTGGGGCCTCTACCACTAATGTCACCATATAAGGCTCTAACTTCTACATCCTTTCAAAAATTGACACCGTGGTTTAATTTTTTGTTGTTCATAATGATATACTTACAGAAAGAACATTTTTTTCTCCTCAAATTTCTCTACCAGTTTTCTTGTTAAACTCAAGAATTCTCACAATGTCAGATCTTTTAAAGATACCTATAAATCTGAAGCCTGTCTGCATCAGTATATGGCTCAGTACCCTCAAAAGACCACAAATGAAGTACAAAAAAATGTCCACCAATGTTTATTGCTGAATCATTTAACTACACTTGAAAATTCAGCCACTGTGTATTCCAGGAGGCATAAATCATTATTAAGCCCAGCTTGCATCAACTGCTATTTTGACATTAATTTTGTAGAGTGGCCTTCTGGATTGTTTTAGACTAATTTCTAATAACAGTTAAACTACTTATTCACTTTTCCCATTATTAACAAAGGAGCCTGAAACCCCTATAAGCATTTTCTTTAGATGTCATAGTGTACCAACAGAAGCAGAAGAAATGTCAGCTCTTCTGAAAAATATTTGTCACTGCTGGTCCAAGGGAAGAGGTTATTTTCTACTGTCAAGTTCTGAGTCAGCATTCCAAGTGCCAAAATATGATTTGTCTCCAGAAGTACCTCTTACACCTCCTGCCAAAGATCTTCCTACCCTGAGATAGGTCCTTTACCTTGGATCCTATAACAGCAGCCCAGTGCATGTCCTTGCACTGATCCTAATCCTCTTATCAGAGGAAAAAATGACCAGTACATGAATCTGCAGCTAGGGCTTGCAGTGATGAAGATTTAAAGTACCAAAGATCCAAACCCACTATTTACAGTGCTAGAAGAAGATCCTTTTCACTTGTATCAGGGAAAAAATATCTTCTGCATTTTCTTTATATTAGGGTGAGCATGCATCCTCTCTTGTTGACTAAGCCAGAACTGGTAGTTTCTCTCTGCTGGCAGGATATGCATTGTGCTAGACAGAAAAGGAACTGCAGCAATAAGGACACAAACAATGTGCCAGCTTTGGAATGGTGCTGTCTTCCAAAAAGCTGCCTTGCTTTTACCACACAACAAAGGTTTTGCTTTCAGATATTCTCAGAACTGCTTAGAAGGTGAGTGTGCAGCACCATCAAGGGAATGTCTTCATACACACACTTTCCTAGCAACAGAGCTGATCACCTAGCACCCTCCCCAACAGCACAACAAATGCTCTGTGATAATTGTCCATGCTCAGGGAAGTCCTTTTCTTAGACTTCCTCGTTTCCTCTTCATTTATACATTGTGCCTTACCTTGATGTCCACTCCTTGCACTTAAATAACTACTGGCTTTGCTTATATGGTAACAGTAATCCAAGACATCAGTACTCTAACTTGCACCACAGTATCCCCTAATATCACATGATTTTCCTTTTTATTTTGTCAAGGGAAGCTTAGGCATAGTGTGAAACTTTACATGGCAGAAAATGAATGAACCCCTTCCAAAGAATGCATTAGAATTTGCAAACTAATCACTTTGAGAGCAACTGTGCAAATAAATATAGTCACCAAGTGCCTCAAAGTTGCCATGCAGCAAGGTACAAGGCTTAGTAATTTCTCTTGCTCTGCCTGGACAATGTCTGTAAACCAACCCCTAGCAAAAGGTGTAGCAAAACACAACTGAGGAACCACAAAGATAGCCCAATGTGGAAGAAATGCTGGATATAAATGAGCACGTTCAAGACAAACTCGTGTCTGGTCAGCATTCAGCAAAGAATGGAAATGTTGTCTTGGACATCAGCAAAGAGACATGGACTCAAGGCAGCAAAAACACTGAATTAGACAATGGTTTGGGGTAAACTGAGCATCTGAGTGCAGCTGCA